AGGGGGAAAGAACAGAAAGTTGACTAAGCTTTATCTGTGACAGGTTGAGCAGGTGGAGTTGAAAGGAGAGATCAAGAAGGCCTAGAAGAATGTAGGGACCTGCCGGGCTGGGGGGGGGGCTGTAGTTCAGCCTCTTCCTCTTTTTGCCCCTTCCCTGCCCCAGGAGCCCTTTGTGATGAGGCCACAGCTCTGTGATGCAGGCCTGGGCTCTAGCACCAAAGGCAACTCCCAGAGCTCAGTTGCCTGAGAGCAGCACTGCGATTCAGACAATGGAGAATCTTCTCTTATGTTTGAAAAGCATCAGAGCCACATGGCTGAGGCCCAGCTCTACTTCCTGGGAGGTGGACATCACCCTTGCCATCCTGGGTGGGCTGAGGCACTTCCTCCTCTTATCACACTTTATCCAGGAGGATGCATCTTTACTTGAACCGAGGAAACTGAGGAACATGGGGAAGGTAAGCAAACTTCTGTCCAGACCCAACAGATTCTCTCTTTTCTTCCTATTACTATCTCCACTCTTCCAAATCAACTAGAGAGACACCTGAGATGGGAAATCTCAGGAAAGATTAGAACAGCATCCTTCTGGGTACAGATGGCGCAGGCCAGGGGTGAGAGTGGGCACCAGGATTTCAGACCAGCTGTGCTGCTCAGCTGGAGGAGCTAAAGCAAGGTCAGACACTGAGACTCAACTCTGTGGTCTAGAACAGGATTGCTGAGAGCTGAGATTTCCATTGGAGAACAGGCCCTGAGCTCATCAGTCCCTTCCTGTGGCAAGTGCCTCAGGTCAAGTCTTGTTTGTGTGTTGGATTCTTATGAAGGCCTTCCTGGACCCCTGAGAGCTCCCATCAGAGGCTGGAGGTGACTCTGGCCTTGGAAGGCTGAATCCTATCTGACAGCTCAGATGCAGGCCTAGCCTGTGGGTTTCCAGAGGAACTGAGGACGTCTGCAGTGGAGCTCAAGTAGAAAATCTCTCTTTCTGTTTTTCACAGAAGGAAAACAGGAATTATTTTTATCCATGTTAAAATTGAGTAAAAGGCAAGAAAAGAGCATGGGGCTCCATCAGCTAACTGTAGAAAGTTGCGTTGTTTATGAACGCTGTGTGTCTGCAGCTTGTCTAGGGGGAGGAGAGTGAGACTTGGGTCCCAGCCCTCATTCTTTCTTGTCTCTCAGCGTCAGGTGGAGACGAGGAGCAGGAAGAGTGACGCTTGGCCAGGGAAGGCTCTGCCCTTCTGTTGGAGCCCCAGAGGTAACTTGACTTTGCACGTCTCTGAGCAATGAAGGCCATGTCTATGAGGATGTCCTTACAGAGGACTGAGAGGAAGGGTCCTAGGAAAGAGACCAGAACCTGTGGTCCTTCTCAGTTTCTGTGCTGGGAATGAAGCCACAGCAGGCCAGGGAAGGGGTGTTGCCCAGCAGGGCTGGAGGGGGGAAGAGTGGACCAACACTGCCTGGATCTTAAGGTGGGATCTCTGGTCCAAATGTGGACATGCTGTTTAACATTCCTAAAGCTGATTCTTCTTTGAGACGATCCAACCCTTCTTCCCCCAGAGGGCAGTTGTAAGGACCATAGGGTACTGGACATGGAAGCACTTTGTAAATGACAAAGCGCTGCCCATCCTTGTGCCTTGCTGTCACTGTCGGGGATCTCATGGCCTTGGACACTGATGCGAGGGCTTCATGGTCTAGTTTCCCATGGTCTTCCTTAAAGGACATTCCACTAAGCCTCCTGTAAGATCTCCAGACTCCTCCCTTCACCATAACTGAGTCTCCTGATTTCAGCCTGTAGACTTGGTCTAGAGAAACTGAAGGAGGCAAGGGGCCTGATCTCACATCGGCAAAGGTGAGGAACTTTCCCCTTCTCTCCCCTGTCCTCCTTCCTACCAGGGCCTATGATGTGACCCCAGGGCCTGGGGTGGACCTGGGAGGGGGAACCAAGGAAGGAGACTGGACGTGACTACAGTCCTGGGGCAGAGGTTGCAGGAGCTGTGTGAAGTCAGTGCATGGGCAGTGGAGGGGCCGTGGGTGCAGGTGCCGCTCCTGGCCTATCTGCTCCTGGCTGCAGCATATGTCTCCTGTAGCAACCTGGCGGAGGTCCCTGACCCTCCGGGTGAGGTGTGCAAACCAGCACCTGCCAGAATCCACCAGCCACATGGGGAGCATGGGGAAGATGCTGGTCCCATCACCATGTGCCAACGGGCTGTCCCAGCTCCTTTGGGTGAGTGTCCTCTGCCTGTGGCCTGCACCCTCTCCCTAGGACCAACAACCTCCACGGTTTCTTTTGGCTCCCATTCACCCCTGAGTGCCTCTCGACCACCAGAGCCTTTGCTCCCACTAGACTTCCTCTCCCCCCAGCCACTCGCACCTTTTCCTCCCCTATCACAACCCCTGGACCCTGTGGCCTCCCATCTGCCTCCAGTAGTCTCCAGCCTGACTCCAGCCTATTTCTCAGTGGCACTCCTGCTGGGCTCCATCCCACCGAGCTTGTGTCCATGCAATAGCTGCTGGTTGACAACTCCTGTCCCAGCTATCTTGAGCCTTGGTTACCTGAGCTGTCTGATCTCAGCCCTCTCCTGGTGGCAAGTGGCTGCCAAGACCTTGTTCTTACCTTGTCACACAGACTATCCCAGCAAGAATGTCTTTCCTTCCACCTACCAGAGCCCTCGTTCTTGGGAGACCTCACACATGGGCAGAAGGAGGCTGGTGGCCCCACACTGGACAACTCCTATGTCCAAGAGCTGCTGGTCATACTAATTGCCAGGACAGAAGAACTGAACTTTTGGAAAGAAGAAGAAATGGAGGAATCAGACCATCCCCTGCATTCACTGTGGAATATGTTATAATCACTGGTTGATGAATGGAACACCAGAATCCCACAACCTTTCTGGAGCATGAAAGACAAACCAGAGCTTGTCTTTCAAAGTTCTCCAGGTCCCCAGCAGCTCTCCCTCTCCGTACACCAAGGTCTTAGAGGCCCATTTACAGCAGAAATGCAGCCAGCTCTTCTGGGGCCTCTTCTTTCTGTACCGTGAGTCTCTGGTGGCTACAATCATGGTCTTTGGTCCCCCGCTAGAGTTTCTCTCTGTTTTATTCCATGAAGCCTCCAATTACTTTCTGGTACAAGTTCAGACTCAAGTATCTCCACAACTTTTTCAGTCCCAGGTCTGGTCCCTCCATGTGGTCCAACTCCAATATCTGACTCGAGCCTCACCTCTGGCTCAGATCCAGAGCCAGCCCCACACCTCATCCTGTCTCCCCATCCCACCATGCTACTCACCACAGATCATGGCCCGGGGAGCACCTCACCCTACAAACCAACAGAAGGCCCAACTTCTTATCCCAACTCCCATCCAACACGTTGGATGTCACCTTTTGAAGAAGAAACAAGAAAGTACTAGGGACTTACTCTGTGTCATCAAGAAACACCAGGAAGCCTTTAGCCAACTCACCCCCAACAGTGGGGCCTTCCAGGACCAAGAGTCAGTCTCTCTCTTCTCAGGGAACCTCATCAGCCCTGAGCTCTGGAAGCAGCAAGAGAAACACCTTCACCAGAGTTTCATTAAACACTTTTGCAGGCTGCCCCACAGACCCCACGTAGCTCCAGACCTGATGTAGCCACAGGACCCATGCCAGAGATCCGTGAAGCCCTGCCATAAATGGCCCCGGAGCCCACACGTGCCTCCGCCACAGATGCTGCTGCCAGACCCACACATGAGGTCCACACGACCCTGCCGAGAACGACCCCTCAGTCCCCACGTGCCTCCTACACAGACGCAGCTGCAGGTCTTGTGCCAGAGATCCGCACAGCCCTGCTGTGGATGGCCCCGCAGCCCCCACAGGCCACCACCCCAGATGCAGCCACAGGACTCACACCAGAGATCTGCACATCCCTGCTATGGATGGTCCCACAGCACCTATGTGTCTCCATGTGTGAGGCAGCCACAGCACACAGACCAGAGGGCCCCACAGCCCCCATGTGCTTCAGCGCCAGACACAGCCAGAGGGCCCATGCGGAAGGTACCTGCGGTGCTGCTATAAACGGCCCCACAGCCCCGATGTGCCTCACCACCAGATGCAGCTGCAGGACCTACACCTGAGGTCCCCGCAGCCTGCTGTAAATGGCCCTGCAGCCTCCACCTGCCTCCGCACCAGACGCAGCCACCAGACCCAGACCCACACAAGAGGTCTACACAGCCCTGCCAAGAACGACCCCGCAGCCCCCACATACCTCCTACACAGACGTGGCTGCAGGACTCCCATCAGAGATCTGCATAGCCCTGCTGTGGATGGCCCTGCAGCCCCCACAGGGCACCGCCCCAGATTCAGCCACAGGACTCGTGCCAGAGATTTGCGCAACCCTGCTGTGGATGGTCCTGAGCATCCATGTGTCTCCATGCGTGAGGCAGCTGCAGGACACAGGCCAGAGGTCCGTGCAACCCTCCCGAAGATGGCCCCGTAGACCCCACGTGCCTCAGTGTCAGACGAAGCCAGGGGACCCACACCCAAGGTTCCTGCAACACTGCTATAAACGGCACCACAGCCCCCACATGCCTCAGCACCAGATGCAGCCGCAGGACATGAGCCTGAGGTCACCGCAGCCCTGCAATAAATGGCCCTGCAGCCCCCACGGGCCTACACCCCTGAGGCAGCCACAGGATGGGCCCCAGTAATCCGTGCAGTCCTGCCCCGGACAGTTCCGCAGCCCCCACGTGACTCAATGCCAGACGCAACCACAGGACTCGTGCCAGAGGTACATTCAGCCCTGCCATGGATGGTCCTGCAGCCCTAGCATGCCTCAGTGCCAGATACAGCTGCAGGACCCACGCCAGAGGCCCATGCAGCCCTGCCATAGACGGTCCCACAGCCCTCACGTGACTCTGCGCCAGATGCAGCGACAGGACCCATGCCAGAGATCCCCGCAGCCCTGCTGCGGACGATCGTGCAGTCTCCCATGTGCCTCTGCCCCAGAAGCAACTGCAGAACCCGTGCCAGAGTTCATGCAGCCCTGCCGTAAATGGTCCCACAGCCCCCTCGTGCCTCAGCACCAGACGAAGCTCCAGGACACGTACCCAATGTCCCCACAGACCTGCCATAAACAGCCCCACGGCACCCACGTGCCTAAACACCAGACGCAGCTGCAGAAACCGCACCAGAGATCTGCGCAGCCCTGCCGTGGACAGTCCCCCAGCTGACGCATGCCTCCACAACAGACACAGCCGCCATACCCGGACCCGCACAAGAGGTCCATACAGTCCTGCCGCGAACGACCCTGCAGCCCCCACATTCCTCCTCCACAGACTCAGCTGCAGGACTCATACCAGAGATGTGCGCAGACTGGCTATGGACGGCCCCACAGCCCCCATGGGCCACCGCCCCAGATGCAGCCACAGGACGCGCCAGAGATCTGCGCAACCCTGCTGTGGACAGCCCCACAGCACCCACGTGCCTCCGTGCCTGAGGCAGCCACAGGACCCACGCCATAGATCAGCACAACCCTGCTGTGGACGGTCCTCCAGCCCCCACATGCCTCCATACCAGAGATTCGCACAACCCTGCCAAGGATGCTCCTGCAATCCCCACGTGCCTATGCGCCAGATGCAGCCATATGACCCATCCCAGAGATCCGCACAGTCCTGCTGTGGACAATCCCACAGCCCCCACATGCCTCCATGCCTGAGGCAGCTGCACGACCCATGCCAAAAGTCCATGCAACCCTGCTGTGGACGGTCCCACAGCCCCCGTGTGCCTCTGTGCCAGAGGTTCACGCAACCCTGCCATGGATGGTCCTGCTGTCCCCATGTGCCTCTGCCCCAGGAGCAGCCACAGAACCCGCGCCAGATATCTGCGCAGACCTGCCATGGAAGGTCCCACAGCACCTGCATGCCTCAGAGCCAGATACAGTCACAGGACCTGCGCCAGATATCTGCGCAGACCTGCTGTGGAAGGTCCCACAGCGCCCGCATGCCTCAGAGCCAGATGCAGCCACAGGACCCATGCCAGAGATCTGCACAGCCCTGCCATGGACAGTCCCGCAGCTCCCACGTGCCTCAGCACCAGGACTAGTTGCAGGACCTGCACCTGAGGTCACCGCAGCCCTGCCACAAACGGCCCTGCAGCCCCCACAAGCCTCTGCCCCTGAGGCAGCCACAGGATGGACCCCAGAAATACATGCAGCCCTGCTGTGGATGGTCCTGAAGCCCCCAAGTGTCTCAGTGACAGATGCAGCTACAGGATCCACACCAGAGATCCACACAGCCCTACCGTATGCGGCCCCAAAGGCCCCATGGGCCTCCGCCCCTGAGACAGCTGCAGGATGGGCCCCAGAAATCCATGCAGACCTGCCATTAACGGTCCCGCAGTCCCAGTGAGCCTCCACGCCACATGCAGATGCAGGAAACACACCAGAGGTCCCTGCAGTCATGCCGTGGACAGTCCCACAGTCCCCATGTGCCTCTGCCCCAGAAGCAGCCACAGGACCCATGCCAAAAGCCTGCGCAGCCCTGCTGTGGACGGTCCCAGAGCCCACACGGACCCCCGAGCCAGACACAGCCTCAAGACCCACCCCTGAGGTCCGTGCAGCCCTCCTGTGGACAATCCTGCAGCCCCCATGTGCCTCTGCACCAGAGGTTCGCACAACCCTGCAGTGGACGGTTCCACAGTCCCCATGTGCCTCCACCCCAGAAGCAGCCACAGAACTCGGGCCAGAGATCTGCACAGCCCTGCAGTGGAGGATCCTGCAGCCCCCACGTGCCTCCATGCCTGAGGTAGCCCCAGGACCTGCTCCAGAGGTCGGCACAGCCCTGCCATGGATGGCCCCACAGCCCCAAGTTGCCTCTGTGCCTCAGGCAGCCACATGACCCTCTCAAGAGGTCTGCACAGGTTCAGACCCTGGCCAGAAAGAACAAGATTAGTCACAGGCTAGATGCCCCCTTAGGGTTCTACCTAACCATCTCTGCCCTAAAGCTTTGCTTCCATCCCGAGCATCAGGAAGGGACAGAAAGAGATTGAGTGCAATTCAATGAGGAGAGAAAAAAGGAAACAAAGCTGCCAATGCAAGGCCCTGAGCCACTGAGTGATACCTATGCCCCTACCCTGTACCCTCCTCTCCCGGCATACTCATCCCACCAGAGCCTAGCCGAAGGAGAGAAGGGGGCACCTGAAGAAGTGGAGGAGGCTAGCCCCCCTTTAAAGACACCCCCAGCAGAGCCGCAGGCTTTTCCTGTCATGGCTCGCTGGGAACCCCCAGGCGTCTGCAGCCGTCGGGGGAAGCAGCCCCATAGGCCTATCTGGTCAACATTGCCCCCAGTGGAAATAGGCAGGCCACTTGGTACCCTTGGGAAGCTCATGACCTTAAAGAGCTAAAAAAGGCTGTCGCAGAGGATGGGCCCAATTCCCCTTGGGCAGAAACCATCCTCCAGGGCTTAGCGCACCAACCCTGCACAACCCAAGATTGGAAAATGCTCTGTAATGCTGTCCTCCCTCCAAATTTGTTTATCAAATTCTGCACCTTCTTTAAAGAAGAGTGCCATGTGCAGGCAGAGATAAGTCAAGCAGCCAACCCACCCATCCCTATCAGCTTCAGCATGCTATCTGGAACAGCAGATCAATTTAGTACTGGAATCCAACAGGCTGCTATCCCAGCCCCCTACCAGGACCAGGTTAGGGCAACAACATTAGCCGCATGGAAAAAGTTGGCTGAAGGGCCCAGTGAGCCCACAATGGCCGGGGTCACCCAGCGACCCTCCGAGGACCTGCCCTCTTTCATAGTTCAGGTGGAACAGAGCATACAGAGAAAGTTTCCCCCAGGTCCTCTCTGGGACCAGTTTGTAAAAATGCTAGTGTGGGACGGCATGACTGCCGACCACAAGCTTGCCTGTGCATACATATCAATTTTAGTTTTTGTGTATAACCTATGTCTATATTAGTCTTTGTACTTTTTATGTTTAAGAAAAAGTAAAACACTTAGAGGACAATCCATCAGTCATTTTGCCGCCTTTCACACCACCATTTTCTTGTTAAAAATCAATGCGACCTGTTCTAATTTTTATCATAAATTGTGAAAAAAGTTTGTAGTTTAAAAACTTTGACTAGATTTTTGTGAAAATGTTTGTATTTCTAAATTGTCTAAGAATTAACTATTCTTATTAACCATTAAAAATGTGACATAATGCAAGCACAACTAGGGGTCAATGTTATGGCTGTGGGGAACAAGGTCATTTCAAAAGGGACTGTCCCAACCAGAAATATAAAAACCTTCCCTCTACGCCGTGCCCTAGGTGCGGTAAGGGGCTTCAGTGGAAGCAGGAGTGCCAGTCTAAACTAGAGGAGGGGCAATCCCCAGCCCCATCACCCCAAGGGGATACAAAGCCAGTGCCCTCCATGCCCTACCAGGCGGCCAGTACCCCAGGCTCATTGGACTATACCTATAGTCCCTGGTTTAAGACCAAAAATGAATCTTAAAATTCAAGGCAAAGAGTTCCAATGCCTTGTTGACACAGGGGTGGATCGAACAGTCCTTAGACAGGAAGAAGTCCCTTCAAGCTGGAAGTTAGTTCCAGGCCCCCAAATTTGGGGGGTAGGGGGAAAACCCCAACGTGGGAAGCCCATGAAATCCTTCACTGGGAAGATGCTGATGGCACAATAGGGGAAGTAAAACCTCTCATTGCTGCCGGATTGGCGGCCAACCTGTTAGGCCAAGATGTTCTAGGCCAAGCAGACGCTTTCATTACCACTGACCATAAGGCCCTTTATGAAGATATTCTAGATGAGGAGGAGTATCAGAAACAGTTTAATCTCCCATTTCCCAAACTATAGGGGGGACCCCATTTTTCAGGACCTAAGAAACCATCTGCCTCTCCCCAGGGTCAAGTTCCCGCAAACCCCTCATAAACAGATGGCTGGTCACCCCCAATCCTAGAGGCCACTGCTCCCCTGGTGCCCCCCATCCGTTGGGTAAATGGGCCCCCAGTTTGGGTAGAGCATTGGCCACTTCCTCATAATAAATTGCAGGCCCTACAACAAATTGTTGATGAGTAGCTCCAAGCAGGGCATATTCGCCCATCCACTAGCCCCTGGAATACTCCAGTATTTGTAATTAAAAAGGCCTCTGGAAGTGGAGGATGCTACAAGACCTTAGAGAGGTCAGTAAAAGAATGATCCTTCAGGGCACGCCACAGAGAGGACTGCCATGGACCCCCGCTATACCAAGCAACTATAGATATCAAGTTACCTAGTAACTATAGATATCAAGGACTGTTTTTTCTCCATTCCACTGCACCCGAGTGATTGTGAAAAGTTTGCCTTTTCTATCCCCTCCANAAAGCCTCAGCTAACCATCTCAAATTCGTATACTCTCCCTCAATTACAAAAGCTTCTAGGCGAAATAAATTGACTACGCTCTTGGATCCCCCTTTTCACCAGCCAGCTCGTTCCCCTGTTTGCCCTGTTGCATGCTTCTGACCCCAGCACCCCCCTTCATGCTTCCGCCTGAGTGCCGTCAGCTTTTAAAGTCAGTCCAAGATCTCCTAAACAGCGCCCAGTTGAAACGCTATGACTCTGAGTCCCCTATAGAGTTATGGCTCATAGCCACTAACACCACATACATGGCTGCCCTAACCCAAAGGGGGGAGCCACTCCAATGGGTACATTTATCCCTAGGAGGGGCCCCCCGGGTGTACACCACTCTGAACCAAGCCACTGACCTAATAATAAAAGGAAGGGAATGCTCACTAAGATGTTTCGCAAAGGAACCACAGAAAATTGTCGTCCCCTTCCGCTTGGCAGATTTTACATGGTTAGCTTAATATCAAAACCGGCTGGCACTGGCTCTAGAAGGGTATCTCGGGGTTGTTGATTGCCACTATGGCAACAATAAATGGGTCTCCACCTTCAAAGAGCTGTCATGGACTAACCCACAGCTTTTTGTCACCAAACACCTGGTAGACGCCTACAATGTCTTCACGGACAGTGGAAAATCAGGGGCTGCTGTAATTATTTACAAATCCCCACGCACCACATCACAGGCGGCCCCCGCTACTCATTTTCACCCCTGTGATGGGTCGACACAATACAAAGAGCTGCTCGCTATACTCCTTGTCCTGCAAAAGGTGCCAGACCCCATTAACCTTTTTTTTTTTTCCTTTTTGTCTTTTTTTACCGACCGGTAACGGGATCGCAACCCTCGGTGTTGCGC